GTTTATTTTTTTGGTAGAAATTATTCAAACTTGGCCTTGTACTAGCCAGAATAGGAATACAAATAATTGCAGTAGAATATAACTTGTCCAGACCATTAAGGTTTTGCATTTTACGCAGATGTTAAAACTCGTTACTTTTCATATTCCTGATTAAATAAAAACAAAAATGTTTTGGCGTTGCCTTTTTGTCAGTTTGTCTAAAAGTTACTTTGTCCATATTTTTTAACAATTTTAATGAAAAACGTAAAATGAAGCATGAACAAAAACGAAGCCTAAACATGATATGCAAGAAAAGGAGATAATCCTTTCAATGGAACACTTCACGATTTTAGCTTGTGCAGTATAGTTACCTTTACCTGGAGGTCAAATTGCTTTATCTTAATACTTTCAGTGTGTACGAGATGGAACTTGGATGCATCCTGACACATTTGGACAAAAAGGGAGAGAAATGTGATATTAGTAATCTCAGATTGGCTGGGAAGTCGGCTGCTACACGTTCGATGCAATATACTGGATCAAAGATTGACCTTAGTTTACTGGGGAAATGTAACGGGACAGGTAAATATTTCATCAAAAAGACAGAAAGACTGAAATATAATTAAGATTTTTTTTCTGTCCTTCATTTATTAACTTTATAAGCATTAAGTAAAGAAACAAGATTTGTCCTTTGTTAACATAGGTCATTCATGTGCACATCTGAAAATCACAAGAAAATCTAGTCATGTAGTTAAAATCCATCTGGTGAACAATTATTGGTTCGCCTGATCTGAAGACTTATTTACAGTCGTATAGTTAATCCTTTTTCAATTTCACATTGTGGACTACTTCTCAAAAACTGCTGTGCCCATTTCAGTAAATACAGAAGTGCCACTGACCAACGACTAACAGAATTTTAAAATTGTACGGCTCTAACTACCCAGGAGCCGATTTGGAGAGCCCATAAGGAATTAACTGAATACAGATTCAAAAAATCGTGATCAGATTTTAGTTTTTGCCTGTTGTCTCTTTCTTTAGATTACAATATTGTAAAATTTAAATAACGAAAAATTTGAAAGTGATCAACTAAAAATACAAAATCTTCAATATCAAAAAAACAATTGAAAATCAAATGTGGAAACCTAACCCTCCTGTTTTTATATTATAGTTGAGAAGCTGAACGGATCTATTTGTAAGGACACAAGGAAGCTAATGTTGAAGCTTGTATCACAATGTCTACATGTTCCGTATAATTGGGGTGATTCCACATCAGACAAGTGCATGTGAGTTTAACATATCGTGTGTTTGATTTTTAACATGTTCTTAGATCGAAACGATATGCTTGCATCTTGTTCACTAAGGAGACGCCCCTGATCTTGTTAGGCACATATGGCACTCAAATTAAAATAGTCGTATATCCATTATTTAGCTATGATTCAAATACGACAAACATGATAGAATTGTAACAAAGAAGATATATTCGTTAGAATTCAGAAAAGGCATCGACATGTTTGTAGATGAATTGTTGAAACGGCTTTCAAAACTATCAGCCTTGCGTTCAGTGTAAAACATTACATCAGTAGAACCACTGTCATCCTTATAATTAATGTCTGGTTTCACATTAAAGGATAAGTGTAATATGGCACGAATATAAAAAGTATTGCTTCAATTATGAACAATTTCTGTAGTAAAAATGTGTTTTTTTTGTGTAAAGTAATATAGCTCATCTTCAGTTTGATAATTGTGGTTATTAAGATCCATTGAAAATCAATGACGAGAAGCAAGTTCATGCCTAAATGTTAATGTTTATCTTTGTAGGTCATTTAGGGCTTTCAAGCATTGCGTTCACCAACCCTATATGTATATTACCCATGATGAGATGTGCACTGAGAACCAGATAGCTCAAGCATGGAAGGAAGGACAACACTGGAAAAATGTTATATATCCACATGTGAATGTTACCAAGTGCGATAGCTATAATGATACAGGTAACTTGAACTATTCACGAGTATGCTGTGTCTGTTGTTCTTAGTCCTTCCGTCTGGCGTCAAATATTCATCTTTTAAAGTCATTAGCATGTTGTGATGAATTGTTTAAATGCATGATCTTGACCTACTTCTAAAAGCTTCGACCAAACAAAATTAAACACCCAAAAAGGGATATCGTTATGATATTTGGCCATAAATATGCTGGGATGAAAGACGTTTAGAATTTTGTTTTCAATAGAATGACTATGTCCTACTTTGAAAATAACTTGTGCTATATATTTTTCTTCTGAAATCTTCTTCTCCAGGTTGGCAAGAATGGATTTTATCTAATTTCAATGTTCGATTAAGGGGTATTAGTATGCCAGCGGTTTACAGTTTTAGATTTACTATGGATGGTTTAATCATCATTGAAAATGGATACCAATATATATGGATGTAATTATGAAAGATGGAGTCGTGTTTTCTTTGACACATTTTACATTACAGAAACTAGTGTTTAGTGACGCCACTTGTCTGACAAAATTTCCTTTAACTGAAATGATATAATGCTTTTTTTTAGATTTTTCAGAGTATAGTTCATTCTATGGAGAAGCAATGGTGTATAGTTTCTACGAATCACATGTAGTGAAGAGGATATTTGCCGATGTTGTAAGTATTTCCTTTTAACTCTCTCGACACAAGTTTCATAACATTTTCTATTCTAAAGATTAGTTAGCCTGTCTGCATTCAGACTCAATAAAATCTTGATTGTTTTTGTTTAGGCGGGAGTGGGTAATGTGGTGAATCAAAATATTTTACTTGAAGGCAGTTGAGGTTTGGATAACTATTATGTCTTTGTTTTATCATTTCACTTTAAATCCAATCATTTTGTATTAAAGAGAAATACAAAAAAAGTCTTGTCCAGATAAGGAGTTGCAAATTTGTTCACATTTACCTAATAAAATTGTGGAGTGGTGATGCTGATTTTCTTTCAAATACTGTGTTATTAAAAATTGTAAAATGCATCTATATATGATATCCTTTCTCTATTGAACCTGATCTGAAAAAAAACAATTCTTTGTTAATAGTATGACAAGATGTGCATTTGAATTAAAAACAAAATAAAATTATGCATTTATACTTTGTAGTTGAATAAAGCTTGCAATGAAGTATTTGGTGCTGATTGTGTATCAGACAGTACAGAAGTGTATGATATTAGGTGAGTCTAACTGGCAGGACGCAGGACAAATTATTGAATAAAAAGGCGGACGTTAGATCGCTTTGACACCATCTCTAGTTAATCCAAATTTTGGCAAAGGTTAGAGGTATCAATTCTGTATAAATGAAGAGTATGCCCCATAAAAGCAAAAGGGGAAATGTCTTTTGATTGGCTGTGTACCTTGTTGATTTTTACCAAATTCAGTACAATTGGTCCACTTGTATATCTGACTAGGTACTATTGTGATTATTTGGAGCCTAAGAAGAAATCGTAAGATTAACACCATGGTCTGGAAAAAACAAGAAATATTAAGAAACATTTTCAACTTCTAGTTCCGATAAAAGGAAATCGATGAGCGATACAGGTCCCTTGATGGATCTTTTGTTTTATTACCGGTACGTGAGACAGGGTTGATTGACCTTGTCAAGACGTGCATCTTTCTTAAAAATAATAACCTATTTCTTGCAGTCAAAGCCACACTAGAAGGAAACGACAGGCAGTTCCATCCGTCAATAGCTGGATTGAATACAAGATAGGATATCAATTCCGTCTTCGTCGTTCAATGATAATGAATATGGATTATCAAATGTTCGAATCAAAAATAATGGAATATGCACATCAGGCCAACATCTCTGTTGTCTACGCACGAAGCATCACCGATGAAACAGGTACACGTTTTACTGTTTGAAAGGAATTTTCCATATACTGTAGTTCTAGTTGAACTGGCGCATCTCTTTAACAACAACGCATGAGGTTAATAGCAAGACATAATATCTAAAAAGACCACATTTTGATCGTACTTGCACGAAAAGGCAAACAACCGTCTTTATTTTCTTGTTGACTTATTTATCTGTCAAAATTTGACAAAATGTTGAAAGTGGTATTTCGTAAATTCATGTTGGTGAAAATTAAAGACATCTATATTCTAAGCTTGAATACTCACTGCAGATAAATACTTTTTTTTAAATATATTTGCGGGAAATATGTGCTTTGACGATAGAATTATTGCCCATAACTTACAAGGGTTAAATATGATAAATATTCAAATTGCAATATCCGTTTAAGCATGAGGCCCGAGTTGTAATATTTGGCCTTTGTCTTGCTGCAGTGAGCGACATTATAAACAAGTGAAGGTCTATTCAGTAAATAACTGTGACGACTATTATATTCTATGATTCTTGAAATTAACTACTTCCACCAATATTCTAGATGAGATTGGTTGACTTTTTAGAATCGCTGACAATTTTAAGCGCACCTACCAGAAGGGCAAGTGAGCTTTTGCCATGGCACGACCCCGGTTGTCTGTTAATTGGCCGTCAAATTTCCTATGAACAACTTGGGAATAGAATGACTTTGTTTCATTGTATTGATGACTTGGCAATAAAACATAATGTCCAATTATTTTACAGTTCTTCCAGAATTGAATTGTTCAGACATCCATTCCATCATACTACACTTGAATAACACTTGTAAATCGGTGAATTTCCTGAACACGACAGACACCACAAGTTACTGCAAGTAAGTTAAAATTCTGGGATTTCTAGATGGTTATTTGGTAGAATACTGAAAAGTAGTATATATGTGCAATTAACTGGAAACGTTAATGTTTTTTAAGACTCCAATTTTTTGTTTTGAGAAACTTCGAGAATTTTTCATTCGCAGCAATTTGAAAACAGAAACAAATATATGATCATTTGTTTTTGTTTTTGTTTTTTCTTTTCTTTAATTAATTTCTAAATGACACTTTAACAAAGTGGTTGTGAGCTTATGTAATATTGAATCCTCTGCTGTCTATCCGTCAGGATTTTTTTCTGTTTTTCTTTTTTCTTTTTTGTACAATTTCTTGAAACTGAAATTCCCTTGATTATGATATTTGGTCAGTATGTATTTAGATGGAGGGCTATGAATTTCAAGACTTCCTGATATTTCCTTTCAAAACTACTTGGTACAGAAATATGATACTTGGATATGATGTAGTCTTGCAGTGTGATTGTGATTGTTATTTTCTAATATATTGTGTTGAGGTCAACTTTCACCGAACAATTGCAAAAAGCTATTAATACACATTCGAACCCTGTTTATATATTTGTTAGCATTACTAAAGCTTTGACAAGTCATATCTGAAAAGAAAATCACACCTTGCAAAACTTTTTGAAAATAAGAAAGAATATATAATCAAAACCAGTGTTACGAATATAAAACTTTTGTGGGTTCCTACATGGAATTAAACTGAAGATCTCCCATCGATATACCGTTAATCTGAATAACTAAGTCGGTTGGAACCTATACCCCCTGCAATGAAAAATGAATCATACAAAATGATTCCGCTTAATTAAACACAAATAAAACCTTTGATGATTGTCAGTTTTATATTTAGTGTCATTTAAACATTTGAACAGCTATGGTGCTAAGTGTGTATATGATGCTGACTTTAGAGTGCCGGAGACACCAAGGACAGAAATGATGGTCCTTCAGTTAATGCATTGTAAACCTATCTGACCCATGTGACTTTCATCTTGGTACCTACAAGCCAAATATCAGAACCAAAGGCCTTGTGGAACTTCATACGAGGCACAACACTAGAGGATTCCATTGTTGCTTCTTTGTTTAAAGTTGCTTGCCGTTAATTTTGTTTTGGATATAATTGTAGCACAGTTGGAAAAGAGCACTTGACCAGTTTAAGGCTATTTGAAACAGTCTCAGTTACAGTTAGAACCTGTTGAATATATGATTGAAGAATTCCTGGCATATTTTATTTTATTTAGAAACTACAATCGGACATTGCTGTGCGCCAAATTAGCATTTAGCTGGAAACCGTACATGGGGAAATGTAACGACAGTATGATGGTCTCCACAATCCAAGCCAATCAAGAGAAGTTTACGGAGGCATTTGGTGGAAACTACTCAACTTGTAATGCTTGTAAGTGAAAACAATTCAGAACAATCAAATCCAATTTGCAGAAAATTTTGTGAAATAATTCTGTCTGTTTTGTAGTATTTATAAACAATGCTGACAAATCCTTGCATATTTATTAATTCTTAGATATTTTTCATAAGAGTTTCTGTTTCAGAGTTGAGAATGATAACTAAGGATTTTCATACAACAGAAGGATACCAATTTCTTACATGCCCGTCAAACATTTTGACTTAATTTATTGTGGTACGGGGAGCATTCGTCCATTGGTCAACACTTTGGTTTCCACAAGATAACTTGCTTAAATGTCGTTCAATTTTGATGATGTGCATTATATGTTGACTAAATAAAGTTCGAACTTGAGCAAAATCCACATTAATTAATCAGTAAACTGTGCTCTGATTGGTTGACGGTTTATGCTTGCTACTCATGAAACTTAGTCAATATTTTTAAACACAGTGACAAATGCTAACTTTCCGATAGGCCAACTGTTTCCGAAAAATGATTTACTCAAATATAACAGGAATCTGATGAGACTTTGTCAAAATTTACAATTTGTCTTATAATGGAATATGCCAGTAATTTATAAACAAGAAATGTGTTTGGTTTAAATGGTGAAAGATGAATTGATAATTGGCAAAACAGCTATTTCAGTTTCTATTTTCATGGTTTGAAATACGTTAAAACAGAGGCGAATGCAAATCAGATTTTTAAATGTCATAAAGCATGTATGAAATATTTATGTTCATTGTTTTCTCCTTTCACCACATTCCAGGTATAGTTCTTTACTTTTCTGAGTTACACGGCACAAATGTGGGTTCTTGTCCTTACGTTTCCATATTTTCATATTGACCCATTGATTTCAGGCTTTTCTCCCATTTCAAATGTAGTAGCAAATAAATATCTCTCCTGTTCAAGCCTTCAACATCATTTGTCTAAATAAATAATAATCAAGATGATATGAAAACATACTAAACTGAAGTATCTTAAGGAAGAATGAGTGTTTCTTATTACAATATAGTAGTTCACTCATTATCTACAGAGTAATTGTCCTTTGTTCATTTTGATACCAAATACTGTCTCAGCATTAACCTCTGTACATTTTCCATTTACCAAATTTGCCATACTTAATGTGTCCCTCTTCAGGGCAAACAGTCGCATAAATACTGAAATAGGGTCATGTTTTGATAAGCCATCTTGATATTTGTAGATAAAAACGGTATGGTGTTGTATCAAGACATGAATGGAAATCCTATTGACAACATAACAAACCTTCAGAGTCGCTTACCTTGTGAGAATAATACCATACAGTACATTGCTAAATACAACTGTTACGGTATGTTGGAGAAGAACATGTCCATTGGTGTAATGGAACGGAGCTTAATCAAGAACGACACTTGTGGGTAAGTACTTTATAATGTTTTTGACACCTGGACAGTAAGAATGACTGTAAATACTAAATGAGCACTTCTATCATTTATTATAAGAACCGCCATCAATGGATTGTTCAACAAACAGTTGGTTATAATATTATTAGATCTAAACAATCTGAACACTCACATTTTCTTTTACTTTTATTTTGTGACATTAATGGTGTTTCATGTAGTTTAACTGAAATTCATTTCTTTTTATTGTTGAAAAAATGCTATAAGTATTTCTAGCAGAAAAAGTGAGGGAGGACAGTGTTTGGTACACAGGAACCTTCGGGTCAAGTGTGATAGATACAGTACAATCAGTGTAGCTTACATGATAAACTGATTACCTATGTACCCTGTTTTCGCGGTGAAAAATAGCTGAAGGTTGATGATCAGTCTGTATGTTTAACATTTATTAGGTGGCTGTTGTGTAAAGTTGTAACTCAGATGTTTTCTATCATAACCCAGACAATGCTAGATTGCTCGGTCTTTCAGATAAGACTTTGACAAGAACACTAGACCTGCAACACAGATGTTTCAACACATTGACAGACTTGCTCATTTTTCTGTCATACTGTTGTGTGTTGTATTGTGTGGGTTAACTTTTTAACAGCAGTTCTTCTTTTTTTCTTATGTATGTCATTAACAATATTTCGAGGTAAAAAGTTGAATGGTAGTTAAGTTTTCAGGAGGTCTGCCTAGTGTTGTTGTCCCTGGTGTGTTGTTTCTATAGAACAGAATTTCTTATAGAGGCATGTCATAATGAAATCACTGTTTTCTAGTGGTCAGTATCAATTCATCTGCATCATCTTCGTCACCCTCCAATATTTTGTAATAACCCAGTTTCAGATAGTTTCTTGATTGGACTTTGTTACCTCAAAAAGAAACTATCGACAGCAGTTTAAATGCTCTGAAATGATCAAAGATATATTAAGGTGGTTGATCGTGAGGTGACATCAGTTGTATGTCTGTGTACAATTGATAAAATATGAAACTGAATTAAATGAAATCATACCTATTATCGGGCGTCTCCATTGACTAAGTATGAAGGTAAAAGTTGAACGTTCATGTTGTAGTGCTGCGGCTTGGACGAAGAGCTGTGTGCATAACACAATGCATGATTGGGCAAATACTTCGTGCTACGCTGTTGAAGACGTGTTGAAAATCAACTCAAAGACCATCTTCGGAAAAACTATCCATTTCGAAAACTGTAAGTTATTGAAAAGACTTGAAATGCAATTTGAATTTGGAAGTGAAAAATTTAATCAAAATATATGTTAGCACTATCATAATGTGGATCGAAATACAAATAATTGATTCATATCATTAAAACTATTTGTCATGCGAACACCATCAAATGAGTGATAAACACACACACACCCGACACACCCAAAAAAATAAATGTGCTTTAGGATTATTGACCCAAAGTTGATGGCAATGGCATTCATGCCCTGTATACTGTCTAATTATCAAACATTTAAGTATATGTAAGTATACATATATTAACCATACAAGATAAATTAATCTTCCAATTATAGGCTCAAGTGATGTGTGTAGCAGTTACGGGCAGTTATCAGTTGCCAATAACAACTGGACCAACTGCATGGAGCTACTGATATTTGCTATGACTGAAAACAGGAATTCCAGTACAAGTGTTAACAAGAATGATGCTCATCTAGCTATGTGCAAGTAAGTAAGAAGGCATGAGAAGGCACTTTTTGTGGAAACGCTGACAAACATTTTGTTTTTGCTGAAGGTATATATTTTGGTGTCTCAAAGATCAAAACTTGTCATCCCATCTGACTTTGAGTCATCTCATTGAAATAATTTGTAATGGAAAAATATCTGAGATTCTCTTTATATACCTTCCAAAATTATTTAATCCTGTCCATATTTCCTTCCATCCATAAATATTCCTTGTCACTACTATTTCTGCAAAAGTACTGAGCATATCTTCTATCCTAATTCACCTGGAGAAACCAGATTTGGTATGGAAGTACATCTTGAAATAATGGAGTTTCAAGTACAAAAGAAAGTCACTCAGACCTATGCTTTGACCTTATCATTTGAAAAATAATACATCTGCTTTTTACCCTTTCACTTGAGTAAACAGATTTGTATGCAAGTGTGTCAACAGAACCAGGGGGTTGGGTCTATGATTCTGGTGACATCTCTTGTTGAGGTTGTTTTATGTTGAGACTGATTGGCAGAAAAGATATCCACTTGGCAGCCATTTTAGATTTTGGTATTGTAAGATTGTTATAGCTTTTTTTTCCCCCAAGAAGGCTTGACAGATATTTCTCAAATTTCATATTTAGGTTCCTCTTGGTCCATAATTGTGCATGTTTTATTTTAAGACTGATTAAACAAAAAGATTGCCTCCAGGATTTGTTAAATATTTCCTAGTTTAGTTATATTTGTTTTTTACGTTCTGGCAACTTCTCTTGACTTAAAGCTGACAGTGCAAGTTAAAAAGCATACAATTGAGATTTTTTTTTTTAAGTTTGTTTTTCTGGTTTAGAGATCTTCCCCATCTCTACCTTCTACCGTTTCTAAGGAAGTGCCGACATCTTAATTTGTCCTTACTTGGTAACGAGTATGGGTCTCGCTTGGTATAAAAAGTACATTACCCGTCAAACCGGTTATCATTTGTTCAATATGTGCACAAGGTGACACTAATTTACTATATATAAAGAACACTTGCACGCAACATTTTGTATCAGATCAGTTGAATAAAATTAAAATGGAACACATCAAAAATATCATTTATCTATGAAAAGTGGAAATAGTAGTAAAATACGACCAATTATCTTATGCACAATCCTAAACTCAATTGAAAGCTTTTTAACTTGCACTGTCAGTTTTAATGTAGTTGATACTTACATGCACAAATCAAACTCTAGCGCTATTTTTCAGGAAGTATGTAGGTTCTCTTTGGTCCTTAGTTGTGCATTTTAATATTCTTAATGATTATCAAACTTCTCAAAACATTATTTAATTCATATTAACACAATATTTTACTAGTTCAAGGCTTAAAAGTGATGCAAGGAACACTATACTCCTGCTGCAGGTTATTTTCTGATCGGGAATGGTGGTATACTCCCAGTGTACTGTAAAACTAGACAATGATATGTATAGCAACAACGTTAGAAACAATTGCTGAAGAACAATGTTACTACTCATTACAGGATGTACAACATGAGCATGGAGTGTATAATGAATTCCACACGGACCAAGGGACATAACTGCAGCAGGTCTGCGCTGAAGTGGACCGTACCTGCCATCAGGAATGCTGTTTACAGCAGTGAAATGTCAGAAATCTGGCATCACACCAATGCATCTACATTTGATGCTGACACATGTCCAGGTAAATTGAAAAACAGTGTTGGTTTTCTTTTTAGCCCACCATCATCTGATGGTGGGCTATTCAAATCACCCTGCGTCCGTGATCCGTCGTCCGTCCGTAAACAATTCTTGTTATCTGTATTTCTCAAGAAGTACCAGAGGGATCTTTCTCAAATTTTATATGCAGGTTCCCCTTGTTCCTTAGCTGTGCAGGGCAACTTTTGAGACTGATCGGATAAACAACATGGCCGACAGGCAGCCATCTTTGATTTTGATATTGAAAGTTTGTTATCGCTATTTCTTGGGAAGTATCAGAGGGATCTTTCTCAAATTTTATATGTAGGTTCCCCTTGGACCTTAGCTGTGCAGGGCAACTTTTGAGACTGATCGGATAAACAACATGGCCGACAGGCAGCCATCTTGGATTTTGATATTGAAAGTTTGTTATCGCTATTTCT